CATACAAGCAAGATACATTCTTATGGTTCAGCCTTATTCATTGTTGGTGGTTCCGGTGTCACCGTTGCCATGGGACATCTGCAAAGTCTCATCTCTAAATTTGAGCGGGAGGGCCAAGTCTCCATCCAAAAGATTCGAGTTGTATGGGCTGTACGGCATGCAGACAACGCGACAGGGATACTTGAAAGCGACATTTTTCCACGTCTTGGAGCCACAGGTCTTACCGCAAAGGTAGAAATTCATCTCGATGTCTACATCACAAGTAGAACAATCAATACTACTGTACTGGACGAAAAGCATTGCCCTGGCCCGATTATCAGCAATTTGAAGAAGAATGCCAGTTCACAGGTAGTATTAGGGAAGGATGACGCTTCATCAAGAGACATCGTCAGCTGCTCAGGTCAATCGAATCAAAGTAGCGCGTCCGCAGCTTACGTACGGTATCACGACGGAAGACCTCTTCTTGAAGACGTTCTGTTGCAGTCCGTTAGACAAGACTTGCCTTATAAGGGGAAAATGGCTATTATATGCTGCGGACCTGCTGCAATGACGGACGAAATTAGACTATTGGCTGCTAAAGCACTTGGGCGGGACGATAAGAGAATTGATTATTTCCTGGAATCTTTCTCTTGGTAAGTCCATAAATTGCAGATAGAATGCTATCACAATGTACAGAAACTCGAAAGGCGCCTAAGAATAGTATGTTATCTTAGACTAGGAGGATAGGAACTATCTATAGGCAAGTAGGACCAAGAGGCTAAGCCTATCTAGGTGTCACACGTAACTAAGATATTCATGACATAGCAAGATTATGGAGAGAAATTAAAATCACAAGTACTGATTGATGTAGAGCAGTTTGGAACTATCGGCGAATGGCCTTATACTTTGATAATAGATAGTTAGCAAGTGGATCCAGTTGATCTTGGACTCCTAAATCACAATCATCTATAAAAACCTCTCCATGATTGTGCAAAAGGCCGTGATTCATCCTCTAGTACACAGTTAGGAAAGGTTTTCGGGTGGTAATTTCGATATGTATTCTCAGGATAGCCATTCTTTAAAACTTAATCTGATCTCGATGTAAAACCTAATGTCATCTTCATCAATCATCAAAGTCCGTGATCATCTAGCATCCAGCGTAGAGCGCTATGTATTGGTCAGTATCTACAATTTCCACATGCAATGTTATAGGCAGGCTTACCCTGAGCAAAGAGAGTGTATGTGTCAGCGTGGTTCAGGTTTTGTGCGGCAGTAAGACTGCGAACGAAGTTGTAGCCGTAGCCACCGTAATCGGAGGTACCCTTGACCTGGGTCAAGTGGGTCATTTCGTGAAGAATTGTGGTAGCCTGGTCTTGGTCATGGCAAACACGGCTGAGCGCAGTAAGGCCAGAGAAAAACAAAGGGCAGTTGACCATTTGGCTGGTAGCTGGGTAGGTGTACGCCAAAACACCGTTGGAGCACTGATCCATGTGAGATTAGCTCTTGGCTTACACCTGGTACACTATAGGTAGCAACTTACAGCACCAAGGATGTCACTACAGTAGTAGCGTGAATTCCCCGACGTTGTGGAGCCGCACTGCGAAGCGATGTTGTTGAAGACCCGCTGAACGGTGCTAACGGTTGAAGATGAAGTAGACCTAGCCCGTTTAGTCAGAATAACAGATTAAGATGGCCACATCGATTGCTTACTTGAAGTACTCGTTCATTTTGGCAGCATTGTTCACGGCGGCAGAAGCGGCAGTGCGCGCCAAAGAAGCACAGTTGGAAATGGCAGTGGTAGTAGCACTGCGGCGGGTGCCAGTGCAGTCTGACTGCACGACAGTGCGCTTTGCGAGATCTTGGTAGTCACGGCGGACCCTGGCAGCCTTTTCACCGTCGACCGCAGTTGCAACAGTGTTGCTAGTGAATGGGACGGCACCTGCAATGACGGTGGAGTCGAGATCGGCATAGGCGAAAGCACCTTCAGTGACGACGTTGAACTCTCCACCAGCACCAAGGTCGTGAGCTACGGCAATATCGAAGAAAGCCTCAATAGACTCTCCAGCAGCCAGAATCTGGAATGCCGATTCATCAAGATTGGCGGTGCTAACACGAAGACGGATACCGTCGAAGGCAACCTTCTCGCCAGCCTTGAACACCTCAACCTTCTCTACGTGAGAGTCTTCAAGATTTTAGCATCAAGTTTGACGAGAATTCTAGCATCCTACTCACCATCAAGGAAAGTACCAGTCTTGAAAAGCTTCAGGTCCTCAGAACCGTTGTTAACGATGAGTGCCTTGACGTGTGTATTGTCGGTAACTTCAAGGGTCACAGCAAGTGGTGAGTCACGCTTGCTGAGGGCATCAGAGAAGGCACTGGCCAAAGAGGCCAATGCGGCAACGGAGAGAATCTGGACCTTCATGTTTGCGGGGAGGTTGCTAGAGAGTCTGGACCTTTGAGAAGTGCTTGAGAATGATTGAAGCTGATTCAACGTTGGAAAGCACTCTGTAATGCTTTTATATACCATGCCATCAGCTCACATTGTACTTGCACAACTTGATGAACTTTCACACCAATTCAACCCTTCATTTCCCGTCCTAGAGGCGAAGGGGCAGTTCGACTCGCTCTGTATGTTTGATAATGCAAGTATTAATCGACCAAGCCACTACACATGCTCGATATCGGATGAACCCCATCGAAAAAGGCATGTCGGAGGTCACAGCCTGGATCGAATTTGACTTTGCTTTTACAACTTCCACCTCGGTCGCGATCGCGTTGTTTTGAAGCTGCTCCAGAGCCTTGGGTCAATCTATTCGTTCCATGTCTGGACGAAATCGACAATGCAGTACCACACGACGGTGGTCCTGCCAAGTATAGAGGTCAGGGGTCTGGAGCGGAATTCCAGGCCAAGCTCCGTCCGCGATACCGATCACCTTCCCTTTCGAGCATGCCAAGCACCGCTGTTTGAAACGTTGTTGAAGTTCTGCAAATGCTATTCTCCTATTCGCTCGTCTTCTTAATTGCGATGCTAGCCGATATCTGCCATAGCCAAAGGACGATTGTATGAGATATCGGCTAGCATCTGACAACCTTATCTCATGCAGTTGCATGCGCTCCACTATCGAGATTCTTCTAACGGTATAGAGTATATGTGTTGATTATCGGATAATAACGCTTTGACTATTGCCCATGGCCATCCAAAGGTTTGTGAATTTCGGTTCGAGCAAGTCTGGCCGTGTTGCCAATCACATCTCGTTCGTCAAGTCTTGTAACCCGGAGGCCTCCTAGCTATGGATTCGGTGTAGAGGCATTTCATGAGTTGTAAAATTTTCTCATTGTGCCCCCTCATCGTCTTTAAATTGGCCGTATAAGTGAAGTTGCTCCATACTTTATGGCAAAACGTCTGGAAATCCCAAAACAGGAGAATCCACGACACCATCAGGTTCCAAACCACTGTCAGATGATTCGACATCGGTCATTCCTTCTGTTGGTAGCAGCCATTCGAAATTGCATTGGAGCGTCTTTCAAGATTTGAGTCACGAAACGACACGCTGCCAACATAACGGTCGCCATTCTAAGCACGGCGTTAGCATTGAGTCACTCATCCGCGCTCAATAGGACATAAGCTTCTCCATAATCGGTTGCTTGGAATTTGTTCGTGGGTGAAATCCCTCAACACTACTTCTTTGAGCGAATGTCCAGCATGCATGAGCAATCCCACTAGGATTTTTTTGGAGGTTGGAATGGGTAGTCATCAATAATGGCACCGCTAGACGAGTATATGAACTTTGCAAGGGCATTTATCTTTACCACCCAGATCTCCAATTTGTGTAAATTGAACTGACTGTCTTTATAGCATAGTTCCCTCAGGTTGTGCCCTGCAATATCCAACGATAAGGAGGGCCCAAATGCAGTGTGTAATGTGATCATATTGTCCTAGTCTAGGAGGATAGGAGCTATCTATGGGCAAGCACCGCCAAGAGGCTAAGCCCATAAGCCACACGTGACCTAGGCATTTATAACACAGCATCTGCCCCCTTCCGCAAAGCGAACGTCCTTATAAGCACTTAGATAGCGACTAGTCTGCCTGCCACAGTATCCTTAGACCTATGCTTAAAACTCCCCTATAGTAATAGTAGTTTCTTCTATTAATTAGGCGTTATTCTCTAGTTCTTCTTTCTAGCAGAAAGACTCTATTATTAACCTAATAGCTATCTATAAGGCTATAGGCTCCTCTATAACTATCTTAGGTTCTACACCTATAAGGACTTTAGATAGTTTAGGCAAGGGTTTTTTAATATTATATTTACTAATATTAAGGGCTTAGTATACTATTAGGTACTATATAAAACCCTTTTAACGCGTTAAATTAACCCTTATAATAGTTAGACACTTTAAAGTTCCTTATTTATAGAATAGACGCTTTAGATAGTTAAACTAAAAACGTAGGTTCTTAGTAACCTTATATATAAGAGCTATAATTACTAATAAAGTTTTAGCTTAAGTCCCTATAACTAAGGTCTAGGGTTACTTCTAGAAGAATTCCTCTATATACCTAGTAGTATTAAGGATTATAAAGTAGCGATCCTTGCCTATTAATAAGTTAATAGTAAGGACTAGGATAGCTTAAAGTCGTTTAGCAAGGATAGTGTTTCCTACTTAGCGTGCTTCTTTAGAGGCCTTATTAATTATAGCTAATAGCAATTAGTTGTGCGTATTATATAGGGACAACACTAACACTTCTTCTACTAGAACCTCTTAAAGTTATTAGGTAAGGTTATAAAGGGTAGTAATTACTGTATCTATATAGTACTATAATCCTAAAGCGTCCTAGACTAGGGTTATATCTATTGTGTTAACTACTACTATAGCGCTATTAATCCCCTATATCTAGGTGTTAATACTGTAAGCTTTCTTTTTGCGCTTAGTATTAAATAATCCTAGGACCGCTGTAACCTCTATAGTGTTGTTTAGCCGCAACGCTAATATAAGAAGTGTCTAATTAGTAAATCTAGATATCTAATTTAGTGCCTAAATTAGTAATCCTGTGCTACTTAGCTAGTATAAAGTTAACGTGCTAATCTATAACTAAAAGGGGTTGTCTAGCTAGGGTCTAAAAGGTTAGGGGCCTAGCTAGTGCTAGTCTCTAATAAAAATATGCAAGTCTAAATCCTAGTAGTTGCCTATAAAACCTATAACCTTAAGATCCCCTACCCTACTATATTCTTCTAGGCATACTGCGTAAGCGCGTTAAATAATTTAAAACCTACACGTATTTGTAACTAAAGTAGTGTAACACACTACTACTACTAACTATATAATAACTTGCCACCCTTTATTAAAGGTAGCCTTAATACCTTTCTTAGCTTCCTTACCTAGTTAGCGCGTAGTATCTAGGTCTGTTATTGCTATCTAGATAGCTTTTAGTTTATCTGCGATAAGGTCTAATTTATTGCTAGACTAAGTATTAAGAACCTCTACTAATAGGGGTATTTCTTCTATCCTAGCTAACTAATATAGGTAGTAAGTAACTAACCCTTCTACTATATTAAAGCGTTTATCTATAATCCCTGCGTATTAACTTTAAAAATATTGTAGATAATAGTTAAGGATGTTAACGTTAGTCTAACCCCTAGAGTCTTGGTGCTCCTAATAGAACTATAGGAGGTTAGATCTATCTTTATCCCTAAACCCTAGGTCTAACATAGTAGTTAGGGCCTTTAACTCTAAAGGTTTAGAATAGTAATAGACTACTATCCTCTTGCTCTATCCTATATCCTTACAATATTTGCCTATAAGGAACAAGAAGGTTTTATAGTTATAGTTTACTATCTTATTCTGCACTAAATAGTAAGTTACCCTACCTTATTCTATGCCTACTAAAGTAACATCCTTATTACTTACTAATAGGATTAGCTTAACTATTAGGGTACCTAGAGAGGCTATTCCCTCTAGTCTGTCCCTAATTAGTATTCTGTTATTAGAGAATTACTTTAAATTAACTTCTAATCTAGGCTCTAAGTTATCCTCTTCCCCTCTAAATATTTCTATAACCTCTAATTTGTTTAGGTCCTTAGCGCTGTCCTATTAAGCTATTTGCCTGTTATTATTGCCTATAGTAGTCCTATTGTCCTATTAGCCTTTAGCGTTAACACTAGCCTATAGATTGTTAGCGCTAGTGTTGTCTTAACCCTTAGTGTTCACTTTATCGTACTAAATCTTAGTATTAGCGTTGTCCTATTAGTTGTTAGTATTAGGGTTATCCTACTAGTCCTTGCTAGCTAGCTTACCTTAACCTTTATTATTAGTTATCTCTAGGACTTTAATAGGTTGCTTAGTTATATATGCTATGTATTCTAGGTCTTGCTATATTTATTTAACAGGATTAACTTTTATTATAAGGGTATATCTAATAAGTATTATAATACTAGTAAACGTCTTGCCTAATCCTAAGATCCCTAAAAGGATCGCTATCTTTGCGCGTAGTCTGTTATTAATCTAAGCTTTTGCTAGGGTCTGCTAGTAGTCTTTTAGAATAGTAAAGAGCTATTCCTAGAAGGCATCTACTATGCCTAGCGCGAGATAATTGTATAGGCTTAATTATTTGTATTATTAATAGTCCTTATAAGTAAGCATCTCTTAAAATTAAACTAAGATAGCTTCCTTGCTCCTAAATAGCAGGGTTAATTTGCGCAGAACTATTATACTAGCAAGGTTATTTATTAGACACTTATATTCTTTATCCTCTCCCTATATAAGGACTATAATTAGCACAGTGCAATAGAGTTGTGCCTAAGCCTAAAGCTTCTCTTGCAACAGGAGTCCTATTCTCTAGACTATTAGAGATGCCTGCGGTTCCTAGTCTACTAGACCCCTAGTCTCCCTATTACGTAGTTAATAAGCAATAATACACACCTAGCCTATACCTATCGCAGGACCTAGAGGGACTACTCTTCCCTTCTAAGTATTTAGGGAGATAGTGTCTTTAAAGTTATTAAAATCTACCTAGACGTGATTATTAGTAGTAAGCTTAGGGACTAATCTATTAACGTTTTCTTCTTTAAAATAGAGATAAATCCCCTAGTCTAATCCTCTATACTATATATTAGGGACTAGATAGATTGCTGCAACTCCCTTGTGCTTGTAGTTCTATATACTAAAGCGTTATTTAATTAGAGTGCCTAGTCCCGCGTAATATTAGAAGGCGTTAAAGGTCTTAAACGCCTAATCTAGAAGTGTCACAAACTTAGGAAGTGTCTCTATTAGTTTAACCCCTTTATTAGTAAGAGAAGGATTAAGCGGGTCCTTATATATAGTTATTAAAGGGTTGTATTTAGTAGATCTATTAAACTAATTAAGGATTAATTAAATTATAGGAGCGATATCTATACTATAGAAAAGTATAAAAACCTAAGGTGTGTGCTGCATAATAATCTAAAGGTTATTATAAGAGGTTAGTATATCTTCCTTCTTAGTAAACAAGTTAGCTATAAAAGGCAACTTATTAGTTATAATATAAATTAATATTAAATAATAGCTAGCTACAAGCAAGGCATATAACGCATTAATATACCCTAGGTTAATATTAATAAAGTGTAGGAATAGTGTTGTTAGGGTAGATTTCTAATAGGGGTTAGTAATGTCCTAAACACAAGTAGCGCGTACATATCTATCCTACGCATAGCCATTTCCTTTTCTAGGAGTAACTAGGAGCTCTCTAGGAGGGCGAGTGTTATAATAGGTTAAGTATAGCTCTAACTTGTAATAAGGTTGCTCCTTTAGATAACCTAGGTCTAGGAAATTATACTTTACTTAAAGACCTAGAAAGGAGTGTTCTATTAGGTCCTCGTGTATAGTAGCTTTAACTTAGGTCTTCTTATTTTATCTAAAGTTTGTGGCTACCTCTATCTATTTAAAGACGTTAGGCTTTAGGGGTGCTGCTTTTTAATAGCAGAGCTAAGATTCTTAGTAGTAGGCTTGCTTCTAGGCCTTAGACTATTCTTATTTGTTGCCCTTATTA